TCCAGCTTGAAGCAGCGGACAGTCCCGAAGGCCCGCTGCGATCGCGTGACTGGAGGAAAGCTTCTCAACATCTCTGAACCGATCTGGAAAGAAAAGCGGTGGCAAAGTTGCTCAAGAACGTTGTTAGTAAGGGGATTGAGAATTCAGTATTGCCTTTTGGGGTCAATTGGACGAAGTAACTGGACTCCCAAACGTGTGTAGTCAAGGACCATCTACCACCGTGTGAATCACCACCATTTGTGGGGGTTCGAACCATGTAGATGACCATGTGGACAGCCAGCTTTGTGTGTGAATTTGTGCTGGTCTCAGGTGTTTGCACAAGCCCAGCCAGCCCAGCAGCTGTCAACCAAACGCCAGGGAATTGCCGAGCTGTCTCTCTTTGTCGCTGCGGACACGGCAGGATCCTACACGATCCCTCTGAAGCGGCGGACACGGCAGGCCGGGAGAGGGCGTGGGGTAGACGGCAGTTCCACAAAGTGGTGTGACCATCGATGACCCATCCATGGGCATATATATATTTATATGTGTTTTTGCATTGGACTCAAATGAGGATCAAGAGTGTTTTGTTCTCAAAAGCAATGAATACAAAGACCACTTAACAGCCTCAGGAATGATGAGAACCAAAGATTTATGACGATCCTTCGTCGGGACTCAGACACCATACGTATACTAGTTCTTACCTTTGTGTTCGTGGAGGCTGGAACACACCTAAGTGGCCTGAGTGGGCGAGCCCTGAGCAGGAATGATTGGAATGATTCTAATGGTCTTAATTAGTGACAATCCATTAATCCATGCGTAGTTTACTCCCCATGACCTTATAGCATGGAAAGGGTGGAAGTGCAGGGTTTGGGGAGTGCTACTGAGCTGATGGAAGAATGCTGCACCACCCTTTGAGAGAGCCCTGAACATTCGTGCAATGCCCTCTGGAACTCTGAGGTAGTATGGAGTCATGGGTGATTCATCAGTCTTTCTACCTGTGACATTCAGGAGTAACAAAAACATGGACACTGTCTCCTATCTTTGCTACCTCTAGAAATGGAACTATACAATTGCTGTTACTGTACTATTATTCAGTGTTGTTTGCCACTTCATCCGGCCCAAATGGTTTGACCTGGATAAACCAGGTAAACCAGGAAGCCTGTGTTGAAGTCCCCCTGGGTTGTGGGGGGATTCACTCTGATTTTGTCTTCTGTTTGAGAGTTGCTTTTCGTTGAAGAACTCTCGACACAGATGTTGCTCCGCCACAGGTCATATTATTCCTCTGAAGTTTCTTCATGTGGGTCAGGTTTGCTTTTCTCTGCTTGGGTTTCGCAACTGCGAGAGCAAGGAGACACCTGTGTCGTTCGGGTTTCACCGATGGTCTCGGTCGTTCCCATGAAGTCGGAGCTCCATGAAGTCAAGCACGGTCATCGGTCCCAAGTTTTGATCTGGGGCCTGAAGGAAATCACTTTTGTAGAACCATCCTAGTTGCACCATGTTTTCTTATTCTATTCATCTATAGAAACAAGGCAGAGGGCTTTTATCCACACCCAAATTCAGCAAGACTAAGCCTCCCACAAACAGCACCTGAGACAATTGCGGACGACCACCACATTGGGACATTTTCTTGTTTTGCTGTATTGCTCCATTTGTTTTGTGCTAGTTTCTACTCAATTGTCCAATGTCCTTCAGAGGGCAACCTGAAAATGCAGCGTTTGCACAGCGTTGGCCCTTTTTCTTTGTCACTGAGAAAGTAAGCTCTAGGCTTCAGGCCCACAACTTAACTTGTTGTTTTGTTGGTTCAAGGATAGAGTGTGTTCATGATCGCATAGGCCGTACTGTTCCTTTCAGAAAGCGCCAGCCTGCAATGCGAGGGTATGCCAAGCAATGTCTAGGGGTAGCCATTGTACACCAAAAGATGCCCAAGCAAATTGAACACCACATTATAACATAGTCCAGGTCCTTTCTAGACCCCTTCTCTCCTCCTTTTTGCACGTCACGACGGAAAGGAGGTGTTCTGGAACGGACATATGGACCGCACGCCTTTCCGGAAGCTTTTGGCTAGTTGAGCACAAGACATGATGGAAGAGAAGCAGCAAACGCATCCCCAAATCTGATATGTCTGACACTTCACGCTTTATGAAACTGCAGATAGCTGCACTTCCCCATCCACTGGTCCCCAAAACTACTGCACAGCATGATTTCCTCCGAGCCATTGGTTCTGACGCTAGACCACACCCGAGTGACATGCGATCGCTGTGCGACGGTCTCACAGGCGTTTTGGTCTTGGGAAAGGATTGGCCCCAAGTGACATGCGCAGATTTTGCAGCAAGACCAAGTGACATGCAGGTTGGGGGGATCTCCCCAAGATGAGAGACAGTTGTTTGACCGTGTTTTTTGATTGGTGTTGGGTGCCACAGTCAGATCAGGTTTTCGCATCGTCATGCTGGTGATTGGGTTCGACATTGGATCGTCCTAGGAATCAAAAACCATGGTAAGGTTGGTATCCCTAGGCCTAGGACCATCCAGTTTCTTGGTTCTGGGTACACAAGGGTCCCAGCCAACGCCCCGTGCCACGTGCGAATCGGCCGGCCATGCTGTCGGGTGATGACTTGCAACGTCTGCTGGAAACTGGTGGAGACGTGACTGAGGAGGCACGTTGATCTGGATGTGGGGATCCATCATTTGTTTGACATGATCAAGCAAACACGAAAGCTCAGGGTACCTGCAGGCTGGAGTTGTTTTAGTTTTAGCTGAAATGCATTGGGGATAAACTTCCATACTGCTCCCACTGAGTCCTGTTATATACCTGGTTTATATACCACTGTATCGGGAGAGGCCCCCATAGTGGTAGTACCGCTACAGGAGGTACCAACCACTTTTCTTGATAAAGGTATGCCAAGAGGCGGCCTAAGACTAAGACTTTGGTTTGGTCAGTCAGGGGTTTTCATTGGTGTGGTGTGGGTCAAAACATGGCCTCTCCACACAATAAGTTCTCGATAGTTGCTTGAGCTTTGCATCATTGTTCCGGGCAAACCTCAGTGGTGTTGGATTGTTGCATATGGATTGATCTATTGATCTTTAATTGTCCAACCATCCAGCCCAGCAGCTATCTGGCAGTTGAGAACCAGACCAGAGCCACTGGTTGTAGGTCCATCCATCCATTGTGGCCTCCATGTCTAAGTGGCTGCTTTTCCAGGCTTTGGCCGACAAATTGCTACACACGATAAACATTTCATCAGATACATATACCCTCTACAGGCATTCATTTTTCTGCAGGATGTATGGGTTGAATGAAACAACACTTGGAAGATCAATAGTTTGGGTTGAAAAGCAACCTTTGAGCATCAATATCTTGTGTTCAACATATTGATAAGATTGGCCTGTGATAGTTGGGCTTGGTCTGTCCATGCACCTAGACATTTAGACCTTTTTGTTTCAATCTCATTCACCAAGCAAACATAATAACCTATAACGCTTGTTGCCCTCAAAAAGGGATGGCCGGGCCTGAAAGATGTTGGATTCGAAGCCGTTCGACGGATCTTCGGGATCTCTTCAAAGGAACTCCTAGTAGTAGTGCCCTTTGTTACTAGTAGCGATGCCCTATGTTCCTACTTTCTTGTGACTAATAGTAATGCCAGGAGCTACTGGTAGCGGTCTTGCTACCTTCTGGCGATGCCCTTGATACTAGTAGCTATTTGCTCCTAATGGATCTTGCGTCCCTGGGTGTCTTATGGGCCGTTTCAGGCGCCTGTAGTGGAGGCAGAGAAGGCGGGACGCAAGACAAACATGTAGATGAGGGACTCAGGCAACGGGGGAGGGCGTTATGGTTCGCTTTTTTACTATATTTACTGCCTTGATAGTATCTGTTTCGTCACTCAGATGTGGGTGATTGACGCATCCATGGATTGATTCACCATGAGTATTCCCGACACCATTTCAGATGACGATTGTCCCAGTACAGAATGAGCACAGAACCGTTGCTTGACCCGCCAACCACGGAATGAGGTCGGTCTCGGGAAGTCCAGGCAACAACGGACATCGCTTCTGCCGATGGTCCTGTTCCTCAGGACATGTGTTTGGGTATCGGAAGGAACGTGTTCCCCCGGGTCCATCCACAGCAAGAAAGGAACACTCCGTCCCTTGACATATCATAAGAAACCTCTCTTTGGGTTCCAAGACATCCGGACTTAGAGGCCACAAACGGAGTTTTTGCTGGAAGGAGCAGGAAGTGCCGGAACAAGAAGGAAGGTGTTTTTACTCAACACGGAAGATTAGGGGTCTTCAGCCATAGCAGCAAAGACTTTGGAGCAGATTGGAATTCCGGAGCAGGTTCCGAAGAGATTCCAGAGCAGGCTCTGGAGTAAGCTTCGCAGCAGATTTGCAGATATGCTGAAATGTTATTGTTCTGACATGTGCTGACACTCTGTCATGCGCAATGCTGACATGTCATCATGCTAGCATGTTGTCATGCTGGCATGCCACCACACTACCATGCTCGTATGGTGTGCGCTCTCACGGCAACATTAAACCATGTCGTCGTTCTGCCATGCTACCTTACAAACATGCTGTCATGCTGACACGCTGTCTCCTCTGGCATGCTAGCATGTTGTCATGCTGACAGGCTGAGGTCTGGTCACGCCAATTGCTGACATGGTGTCATGTTGGTCAGGCTATCATGCTGACGTGCTTACACATGATAGCTGACGTATTGTCACGTGCTTACCACGTGCGTACACGTGCTTACACACTAACATGCTGACGCATTGTCACGCTGAGATGCTTGCTGGCGTTCGGGTGATGCTGTCATGGGAGGCTCCAAGGCGGGTTATTCTGGAGCAGGTCCCCCAGTTCTTGCTTGTTGCAGCGTTGGAAGACATATGGGCACAGGCGTGGCACATTGAAAAGGCCCCGCAGGTTTCAGGACAGCAGTGTCTGGCAAAGACACAACACGTGGATTCATGCCCAGCTTTTGGAGATTTCTTCTTGGGTTCTTTAGTAATGTTCGTTTGAAAGCACTATTGAACTCCTTTGGCCACGCTGCCAAGGTCAGAGGTGGGGTTCTGGTCAACCCTCCAAAGCCCTCCAAAGCGACGGAGACTAGGGCCGACTTGGGCCCCCCCCAAAACCAGAATGGAACCCGGTCAAACAACCTCCCCCGCTGGCTTTGGCGCAGAACAGTTCCCACTCCTCCCACTCCTCCCGCTGCCACGGCAAACAAACACCGCCCTCCGCCACTCACAGGCTCCCGCGGAACCCGCGGTCGCTCCGCTCGCGGGGGAAGCGAGCGAAGAGACTGGCACCGTGCTGTGTGATGGCGCTGTGCGGATGCGGAGCTTGAAAAGGTGGGGACGACAAAAGAGACGAAGGACCAGACTGGTGGAGACGAATTTGAGCCTTAGAATGAACAGGCATGCTTAGAGTAATTATGGCCTTTGGGTGGTGAATGTTTGAGCAAGGATAGCGAACATGCCAAGTCTATCGACTTGCGCCAAGAACGATAATGGAATCTGAGATCATTGCCATTTGACCGTCAATGTTCTGGGAAAACACTATGCTTTATATACAGTCGCTTGATGGTGACAACGCAGTTGAAGTACTTTCGTCAGAATAACTTTAACTTGACCAGGGCCCCTGCACCAAATTGAAGTGGGTATCGGTCACAAGTCGAATCAAAACTGAATGCACAAAACATGCCGACTCATGCTGTGCCCTACACCTGAATCATTCCTCGAAACACCTTGAGACATCTCATGAGATTCTCATTGGGATGGCACATAGGAAACAGAGGGAACAGCAATTCCCACTTGGAGAACCTGTAAGCATCTAGTATCCGCCATGATCTGCGCTTTGACTCGCAAGGGGAGGGCACAGGCACACACAGACCCCACCGCTCCGCACCGTGCCACGCTTCGGACCTTCAGACCTGAGGTCACCCGAGCGAGGAGGCCGCATAGGCCGCAGGGCAGAGGGGTGGGAGGCGGGGAGGTTCCCCTGGTGGCTCGTGGATGGCGTGATCTTGGGAAAGAGCACTTTGCCAGTCACTGGTTCTACAAACAGGGGTGGCTTCCATGGTTGTTGGAGGAAGGGTAGGGGATCTCGATGGGTCTCGTGGATAGTGGATATGCCTTGATTACGATGACAAAATGGCAATAGAGCCACCAAGCAAACGTCGTTTTCACGGTGTTGACCAAAGTTCGGATTGCCATTTTGTGCCATTTTTCAGCACCGGTGGGTCTTCAGTGTCACTCGCCTATATGCCAACAAAGGGTCCAAACTAAAATCCATCTTCCCACGAACAAAACGAGGACTATAGACCGGCATCACCCTGTACCATGTGGAGGGAAGGAAATTTGTGTGTATATAATCAATCTCACAATGAGGGCTTCCCCAGGGAGTATGTAAATACTGTATCATTTCTATGTCCATGTCCTATCAGGAGGGATGTTTGTGGGGCTCAATTAAAACACACATAGACACGCACACACCCAGATGTGGAATTTACTCGTGGGCTGATACAGTAAGCATAAATGTGGTCAGCCACTTGTAAAGAGTAAAGATTTCAGCCAACATGTTTCCATGAGGTGAAACCAATAGACCTGCGTCACAGCCCACCTTGTCAATATGTGCAAAGTCTATTGAACAAGTAGGAAGCAACGATAAGAAGTGCAAATCATTTGCAGAATTCCATTTAAAAGACGCCTCCCATGTAAGCACTTCGCCCGTAAGCGACCGTGGAGTTTTGTGCGGTTCAGGGGACGGGTGCAGCATTGGCTATCGTACACAGGAGGGAGATCCACTGGAAGAGGCGGGTGCCCAGATGATGATGTTACTCACAAGAAAGAGTTGTGAAACAACATGTTTTGATATGTTTTGTATTTTTTTGTAGTTTGTAAGCAACATGGTGTTTGTCCATGCAAGTTTACACCGGTGCAAGTTTACACCGGAGGTCGTCAATTAAAATAGTTTGTCGAAGTGTGCATTTCATGGACATTTGCAGCGGTCCTTTGAGGAGTTTTTGGGGTACTTGGGCTTTTGGTACCGACCCCTTCAAACGGGATCATAAGGCGAAACACGAACCCTGCCCTGTTGGGCTTGTTTGGGCATTTCCTCCAACACAGCTAGGTTGCTAAAAACTGATCACTTAAAGACTTAAAGTCTCAGTCTCATTTCGAGGGCATGGTTCCTCTCTTCACTTCTGCATGAAACCATACGTATGCAAGGAGGCCGTGACCGCGTTCAACGAAGCGAAAAAGCTGTCTGGGCGGAGCTGCGCAGGCGGAGCTGGGCAGCGAGCGGCTGCCCTGGGCCTTGGAGGTGGTGGCCAAACGCCGCCCAGCTGCGGCGGTTGGGTGGATGGTCGGTGGTGGGTGGGTGGTCAGTACTCCACAAACAGCGCCCACGTCGAAAGACGTGTTGCCGAAGTAGGTAGGTCACCCCGGAGAAGGGATGCCTGTGACGTGGAGGTACATGAAGACTGAGGGCTTTTGCACACCCATCTTGCTTCAACTGACGTCAAGTCGACGAGGAAATCTTGGTTTTGGCAGATGTTGTATCAAAGGGCTAGAGGCTAGAGTGTACAAAGGATTCGCCTTTGTGGAACATTCGCTCAATAGGCCTTTGGGATGCTCCATTCGCCCGGTGGTACAGACCCCGTTCCCACCGATCCGGGCCGATCCGGGGGGGAGTCCGGCACCGGAACCTTCCGTGGGGGGATCCGGTCTTCAGCCTCATGTTCCGTTCAACCGGAACAACTCCATCCACTCTCGTCTTGAAAGGGAACCATGAAACCAGAAGGTGATAACCCCAGACACGCGCCACGCTCAATACCAGCCCCAGACCCTGGTAGGTTGACTTCCCTGGTCCCTGGTAGTCTGTTCATTTCGGTGGTCAACCAGGGTGTCCTGTTTTTGATCCACCTCCATATTTGATGGCTATCAATGGAAGAAATGTTGCACGTCCTTCGCCGGGAGACCCATGTGGCGCTCCGTGGAGCCATCGTGTTTTGCTCGGTGGAGCCGGTGCTAGGAATGCAAGTGGGAGATGTGGCGGAAGTGGTCGCTCAGCTAAGTCAGCAGACGATGGCCCAAACGCTTTCATGGAGTATTTACATGCGTTGGGATGCTTTCAGAGATCAATGTAGGTTTATATTATATATATAGTCCATAGTGACATATAGCGATGCGGTCCATACATGCAGTGTTGCTACCTTTTGGTGCGACGGGGGTCGCCTTTTGGTCCTTTGCCTTTGGCGACTCATCAAGTGCGCCCAATGCTGAAAGAAGGCTCTTGCAGAACTCTTGTTGGAAATGTCGGCATATCGGGGCATGGAGAGGCATGTCTCAACGATGGAATACACACCTAGCTTATAGGTACAAGAAGCTACTAGGAACAAATGGCATCGCGACTAGTGGCAAGGACGCTACTAGTAGCTCCTGGCCTTACTACTAGTAACAAGAAGCTACTAGTAGCAGGGGCATCGCCACTAGTAACAAAGGGCATCAATAGGGCATCGCTACCAGGAGCAATGACGCTACTGTAAAAGGAGAAATAGCACGTCTGCAGGTCCTTGTTGGTCCATTGGTTACTTGGAGTAGACAGACCGGGGTACCTCAATCTCCAAGGTCCACGTATTGGCTGAGGTCAATTCCCTGCCCAGCTCTAGTGTTGGTGAGTTTATGACAAGAATGCAAACAAGCAAAACAACTACCATACTCTGCCCAAGACAACTCATCTTTGATACGCTTCCAACAAGAACCCATGGCATCACTGCAACTCGCGCAGCACTGTCTTGCGGCGAGGTGGCCACCGGCGAACACGCCCTGGCCGACGAGGAGACGGTGGCCGACGTCGAGGGCCTTGAACGTGCCTTGACGGCGATGGTCGATGGGGGTGGCATTGGGGAGACCACGACGTGCCATGACAAATGACAACGACATGGCATTTGTTGTTGTCATGGTCACATGGTTGTCAAAAGGTTGTCATTCTTGTCGTCATTTACGCACTTGCTTCATTCAGACGCACAGTTTGCCTTGGCAATTGGACAGAGAAGAGCAGCCCTGGAGACCAACCCTTCTCCAAATCATATTCCAGTCTCTTTCGGCTAGAAGTCTTGGGGATTCTCTTTGACTGATGAAAAGGACAAGCTGCGTTGTACGGGAAAGGTTGCTGTTCCCCGTTTTGATGCTTTGAGCGACAAGGTCTGCCACTTTAGAGATTGTCACTTCCCGATCTTTTTGCAAGTGGAGGCAAGAGGTTTGTTTGTTTTCTCTTGGCAACACGCAGAAGTTGCGCTTCTTGTTGTCCAGTTGTGTGTTCTAGTATTTATATTGCGAATGGAAGTGCAGCGACACATACAGTGCAACTTGTACATATATATGTACCATATGTACTTTGGCTCAAGGATCAAGCGACTAGAAAAGGTGCGGTTTCCGTTCCGACGCTACGCCGCTTATGGATCGTCAGTGATAGCTTCAAACTTCGCTGATTAAGATCCACTCGCAGGTTATCAGCCGTACGCGCTCTTTATAGCCGTACGAGCTACACGAGACCAAGAACAAGACTAGTCATTACAGAAACCTGCAATGTCAAGCTCAGGAGGAAATGGAAGCGAACCCTATTCATTCGCTGCTCCTGGTGGTCCCAACACCATTTCGTCACCAGACTCTACAATGGGTACTGATTCATCAGCAAATGCTGACGTTATCACTATGCCTACTGGATCACAAATCTCGGAAAGATCCGTGCCACCGGCTCGGAATCTGACCGATCTTGCACCCGTAGGACCAAGAAGATCGATGAGAGCTACAACAAGATCTACATCGCCTATAACGTCTACCGCGAGATCCCCAAGAAGGAGTATAGAGAAGAGACGTGACGATGATAGAGGAACAAAAGAGCAAAGAAGAGAGATTCAGCTGGGTGAAGAATTGAGATCGGCGAGAAACGCATACAATTTTCTTCATGAAGAATATGAATGCATCCAAGCCGGATACTCACGACTACACCACGAGGCTGAAGTGGAGTTCAGGCAAATGTCTGACTACAACAGGAAGATGCAGGAACATCTACAAGAGATGACACAGGAAGATGAAGGAGCGACAATAAGAATTGAAGAGCTCGAACACAAGCTACGCTTGGCGGAATCGACAGCTGAACATATCTACATGAGATATCAAGAGCTTGCACAAGAAACTCATCAAGAACATTCAGAGCTTGAATCTGTGAAAGCAACGAAGGACAGAATGTCCCAAGAGCTACAAGCAGCAATTGGACACATCCAAGAACAGAATGAATCTTCATTGGCGATCAATAGAAGATCAAAAGCCATTCAGGATGAGAACACAGCCTTCGTCGGAATAGCTGACCAGATACAAGCTAGAATGATTGCGCTACAGGATGAGAATGTCAACATGCACGAGGTGATCCAACACCAGAGAGAAGAACAATGGAACAGTGAGGTCAGGGAAAGACGTCTTCAACACAGTGTTCACTCATCTCAAGATCAGAGCAATCAGGAAGCTATGGTTATTGATCATCTACGAGGTCAACTAGCTATGGCACGTGGAGCTGAACTCAACGCGAGAGCGGAGATAGAAGAGATGGAAGTGGGCATGAGGATGGAGATATTTGTATGCCAGACTGAAGTCTCTGCTAAAGAAATGGCAGAAATGAAGGCGAGCCACCATGAATACGAAGCAAACGTCGCAAAGGAGGTTATCGCAAAAGGAGAAATATTCAACAACGAAGTCCTAGAAGGTTCCATCCGTGAACGACAACAGTTGAAAGACGCCAACCTCGCTCTATCCGAAGCCAACGCACAGCTGAAAAGAGAGAATATGATGAGAGCTCCTATGTTCGGCGATGATGGTGCTGAAATTCAACAGAAGATCAGAGAACTGGAGAATGCACTATTGGAAAGCCAGAAGGAGACAAAGAATGTCATTATGGAAAATGCGAAATTAAAAGCAGAAGCACGAATGGCACCCATAGTCTCTCGGTACAGCAAGCGTCCTAGTTCCAGAGACCGCGGGTTACCAACCCACGCGTCCGAGGAAGATGAGGTTCGGAACGCAAAAGAGGAGGCGAAGCACTACAAGGACGGGTACAATGAAATGACAGAGAGCCGAGATGAGATGTATGAATGGTATGCCGAAACCCACAATGAGTACGCCGAGGAAAGGGAGAAATCAATTGAGCTATCCGAGGCGAACAAATCATTGAGGGACAAGATTTCAGAAGCAGAAGCATCCTCTTCATCCCATCTTGCACCGGCAACCTCTACAATCATGAAAGTATCGAGGAAGGAAGAATCAAAGATAAACGTTCCGTCATGGCCCAGGATCAATGATCTTGGACTATGGAAGGCAAATCTCATTCAATCGATCATCATTGCGGCCAATGATTCAGATCAAGAGCCCTGGATCGACTGGATCAAAGAAGCCATGGACGATCCTGATCCGGACAAGTTTGTCGACTCAGGAGACCAAAGATTCCATTCAATCGATGCCAAACTCGGCCTAGCTCTTACCAAGGTCGTCATGGATGCGAAAGATGATGGTTCAGGTGTAGCTATGAAGTTGAGGACGAGGATCAATGCAAAAGGGAGAACATCAAGCCTCATAAAGGGAAGAGAGGTCCTAGCCCTGATCCTTATGAATTTCAAGACAACATCAAATGTGGAAGTCTTATATACTTCAATGCACCTCTACCAACTAGAATATCAAGGAGACAAGAACTTATCGTTGTTCTTCCACACTTGGGATGAGAATCTGGCAGGAATGAAGCCCGTTGACGTCCCGAGCGACGAAACTCTTCGGGATCTCCTATGGAGAAAGATCAGGAACTCAAACCTCATGGCATACGACATCAGCGCCTACAACAGCATGAACGACGATGATGCCAAGAAGACATACAAACATCTACGTGATATGATCAGAAGGCACATCGAACGGCAAACTGAAGACAGGATGATCCTGGAAAAGGAGAAGGCAGTGAAGAATGTGGCCAATATCTTTCAGAATCTCAAACCAGGCGGACCTGCTCCAAAACTGAAAGCTGCACCAGCTGATCCGAAGAAGAAACCAAAAGGGCAACAAGAACAGGTTGTCTCAGAAGACGCTGCTGCAGTGAAGCCGAAACCCAATCCCAAGAAGCATCCTGAAGACAAGAACAAAAAGGGAAAGGGGAAAGGTAAAGGTGATGGAAAGGATCGCAGCCGAAGTCCGAGTACAGACAAGAAGAAGATACCATGCAAATACTTCGTGAAAGGTAACTGCACTATGGGGAAAGATTGCCCATTCAGTCACAAGAAACCCAGATCACCATCCAGAGGATCTTCTGTCGGAAAGAATGACAAGCCAGTATGTTGGATGTGGATTCGAGGAACTTGTGACAAAGGGAAGGATTGCAAGTTCTACCATGACCCAAAAGCCTCTCCTAAGAAAGGGATATCTGCACCAGCTGACTCAGGAGACGATAGGCCAAAGCCCAAGGCAAAACCCAAACCGAAGCCTAAGGCGAAGCCTGGAGCCCCAGCCATTGACGGTGAACTCTTCATGGACGAATCCGAAGATGAAGGGATTGCTGCATCCGCCAAGGCAAGAGAAGGAGGTGCAAAAGTATCCTTTGATGAAGAGACTTGTGAGATCATGTTGAACGAAGCGATCTACTCAGTCAGGAACAAATGGAAGGTAGTAGAAAGGAAACCTCTACGTGCAGACATCAAACGATACGATGAGAAAGAGCTCACCTGCTACACGAGGAAAGAACAAATCAGATTTGAAGAAAAGGTCGCAGAGGCAAGAGGCATATTGATGGTCCCCTACACTGAGATCAAGAGGGTCCGAATACCAGTTGGACCAAAGGGTGACCTAGCGGTCACTATGTCTTTTGACGAAGATGACGGCCTAGTTTTCCATCATAAAGTCATTCCTCGTGTATGCGAGGGAAAGAAAGATCATGCAGACACAAAGACATTGTCTATTCCAGCCAAAGGGTCAAGAACAAAGTTCATCATGGACACAGGATGTGGGTATGATTTGATATCGAAAGGCAGAGCCAAGAAATTAGGTCTGGAAGTGAGAGAAAGCGACCAATCAATGTCATTCTATACCGCAAATGGAGTGACATCCACAAAGGGAGTCGCCGACATTCATTTCGACGAATTTGACTCTACCTACTCCCCATTCGTCTTAGATGAGTCTCCTTCAGTACTGTCTGTTGGAAAGAAATGCATGGAGGAAGGTTACACATTCATATGGCCAGCCTGCGGCAACCCGTACATGGTTTCCCCGAACTACAAGAAAATCATGTTAGAAGTAGAGGGAAACATCCCATATATTGTCAAGGGCAGTGACTTCTGTAACCCCACCGACGATGTAAGGGCGGAGATGATCGCAAGGTTCACCCTAGGAGAAGGTGAAGCTGATTACCAATCGGCTTTCATCAACTGTGATGTGGATCCTCAAGGCGTCATGTGTGATGATGACGACCTCCCTGTGATTGAGCCTCCAAAAGTCAAAAGACGAAAGAGGAATAAGAAGTTCAAGGCATCTCCTGGAGAAGAAGATGAGGTAGGATCAGATGTCGCCGGAGAAAGTGAACCAGAAGCTGACGATGATGATGCAGATGACATCGAGGTGGATATTGTTGACGGTGCAAGCAGAATGGTGAGAAGAGGAACTCTGAAAGCAGATGCCAGGAAAATCGAACATCTACTCACACACCGTTACAAGAATCCCTACTGTGAGTCATGCATCAGAGCAAAGATGAAACACTTCAAGACGCATCGAGGAGCGTTCAAGAGAAAGCTCAAAGCTTTTGGGGATCTGGTTACCTTTGATTTTGTCGATACGAGGAACATC